AACTTCGCCGCGCTGGCGAACCGAGCTCGGAGACTTTTCAACGGGCCACGACGTAATTCACCGCGAATATCCTCGCAGACGTTCATGGAAATTGCGGGGAGGACCGAAACGAACCGAGAAGGATCGGCCGAGTTCGGTTTCTCGCTTCGAACGGTCGACTAATCGACCGTGGCTTTATTTGTAGTGTACGCTGAATTAAAAAAAAAATACTTACATCTGTATTAGTAAATAACATCTACCAATGACTTTCGAAGTCCCAAATGATCAATGAAACCAGAGTCGATCCTTCCGTTATGCGACAATAAATCTATTTTTCTCGTAACATTCCATTGAATTTGCAAATCGATTTCATAAAACACCTGTGATTCCCATCGTTTCTATTGTACATTCGCAATGTGGATCTAGGCAATTGGACATAGACAAGGCAAAAGAAGCGATTACGAAATGCGCTTAGAAAAACCTGCAAGGAGACAATCTCGAGAAGGCTCCGGTGATAAATGACACCTCGATCGACGTTATATTGAAATCTTAAGGGACGGTTATATTCTCTTAGCCCTCCGGTACGTCGCAGACGCCATATGGCACCGAGAAGACGCGTCATTACCGCTGGGACATCCGAGTATCGAGGAAAACTAATACAGACGCTCGCTGGAATTGATAAAGTTCTCGATCGGTTTTTGCGATCTTTCGAACCTGGTCCTCTCTAAATGACAAGTTTAAATTACGGTCATGGAACTTCCGGGCGACGCGCGACGTTTCCGGTAACGGGAGTTACGGTGTCGGTTCCCAAGAAATTAATGTTCTCCGGGTACGTTCTTACGAAACCGTTTGCGTCTCGGAATTATCATTGTCTCGAGTTAAATGCATCGATCCTCAAAGCACAGATGCAACGAATAAGAAGCTAATTAATAGACTGATCTTTATCGACGCAACGGTACATGCAGAAAATGTGTTATTTCATCTGATAAAAAACACGCGACAAACACATTCCAGCAAAGCTTCGTACGATAGTAGGTGTCGTTCTTTATTTTTTTGTTTGCAAGGGTGAGCAAACATTGTGCCAGTTGCTTTCTATTACAGTAAAAACGCTGAACGATGTTATTACTAGCAGTGGATTCATCCAGATTTCGTTGCCATTTCCGGCAAATTTATTCAAAAGTTTATTATATAAATATCGGACTTTGCGAAATAAATACAGCTGAAAAAACGTCGGGAATACAAGTTCCTAGGCAGGCTCGACTGTGAAAATTGATTTCCTATAGAAGCGTGCATTCGCGTAAACACGTACAGTCCGCATATTTATCCAAGCGAAATAATAAGAACGAAATACTGTGTCGTGTTTGCGAAAACACCGATCGAATTGATAATTTCCTGCCTCGGTAGCCTTCGGCTGGCCACCAAAAAATTCCTTTGTGTACATGGAACGAACAATGATGAAAAGTTGCACGATTTTTGAACTCGTCGAATGTCGGAAGAGGGTTGCCCTAAATAAACCGGATAAATAGTTCGCTTAGGAACGGTTTCCCGTAAGTCCAGAGAAGCGGGTAATCCAGTGGACGGATACGGAGAAAGTAGCTTCGGACTCATTTTTTCTGATCCTCGATTAGCGCGACTCCTTAAGGAAGCGCCGATAAAGATGAGGGCGTCCAACGGCGACACCGAGGGGCCAGAGACTTACAAACCGCGTTCGGGCCACTTAATCTTCTTTAGTTGCTGATCGACGGCTTCATAATCCTTCCTTAGCTTCGAGTTTTTCGGACTTAGTACCGGCCGGAATGACTGGTCGATTTATCGGGCCACCTAATAGAAAGGTGATCGAGACGAACGGAAAGGGACGGAGGGAACGCGTCGCGACGCTAGCTGCAGGTGGCCGCGACGTTACTCGAACGACGTTTCGCCCTTTTTTGACAAATGAACCGCAACCTCCCGCTGAAAAGGCGCCGTAACGGCCGCGATGAATCGTCGATATTCTTTCACGGCGAACAAATTGGCAGCCGCGGCGATTTCAGCTGGGAAACTATCGATAATTGGAAAATTTCATCGTATCACCCCGCTGTTTATACATGAATAATATTTGATCGATAATATTTTCATTCCCTTTTGTGTACATTCGTTTTTTCCATCCCGATGAAGAAAACAGGTCGGTGTTTGCGTTGCGCCGCGGCCGCGGCGTTCATTTACAATTTTTAAATCCGCTGATGAAATTAACCCGCGAGCGAACCTCGCAACGCGGACAGTTACATTTTACGCGAGTTTGTTGCTTTATGGGGAATTGTAATAGAAACATTGTGCTCTCTCGTATAATTGTCATTAATCTAGCGAAGCTGTGACTCGATCGAAAGAGTTGAAATGGCGTTTCAGTTGCACATCTGAAAACAGGAGAAACTCTAGTGCTCCGAAGCACACCGAGCATCTTCGACAAGACGGAAGGAGAAATTCCAAACAATTGCGTCGAAGGTGTTAATAGTCCTGGCAGGAGGGAGTCAAGGAAAAATGTAAAGCACGCGTCGGAACGTTTTCATTTCCACGGACGAAACGGTGGAAGCCGGTCGCGTTAACATTCCTGGGGAAGTTTCGACGAAGAAACGTAGTTATGTCGGGCAGCGACGGCGGCGACGACGGCGGCAGTGGCGACGGGGACGACGACGTTGTTCGCGCAACGCGTTGTTCGTGAGCGAGAATTGAAGCACGTTTCGGCTGCAGCGGTACGTGACGAGCCCGTTGCCTTTGCTCGAATACACGACGAAATAGGAGACGCGAGGTACAAATCAACCGAAACGCATTCATATTTCACGTGTCTCGGCCTGCCCGTACAGTTCGCTCCTTCGTTCCGCGCCGACCAACTTTATCGCGTCTCTCTTTCCCCGGGAATCTAATAAACCCGCGTGTAAAACTGTTTATACGCCGACACGTGTGACTTTTTTACCTTTTTTTCGCAGACTCGTTTACGGTTTTGCCGATTTCTTCTCGAAGCTCGGGGACGCGGCCGTTCCACAGCGCGACGGACGATAGTTCGTGAATTCGAGACTAACTTCGTATAGTCTAAAGTATCAGGAATACTTTATCATATGTAACTTCTTATCGATTATTCCTCGAAAACAATTCATTCAAAATTTACAAAGACAGCTACGCAAGCAAAACTTTCGACGGTGATTCGTACAACTCGAATGAATTACTCCGAACAATCATCTACGATTAACTCAAGCATCCACCGGGAACCGATCTGGCGGATTAGCTCGTGTTTATTGGAAACAATCGGAAACGCCGAAGCGAGCGGCGCTGATAATTATACGCGATGTTTCTTATCAAAGGTACGAATCCATCGACGCTGACCCCGATAGCCCAGCGGCGGCGGTACACGGCGACCGCATTAAAAAGAATAAACGCTCGGTGTTCGCGATACCATAGACGTCGGGGAACTGCGGCCCGACACCGCAAAGGGCTACCTTGTTAAATGCTGCAGGCTAAAACGACTTACGCCCGTTTAATCTTGAACGCGAATTCTGCGGTATCTCGCAAGGGGTTGTAATTCAGCGCGGCTCGTTCTCCATTCCCGGCCGGCCGACCTTCTCCGGGTATAAAGGATGAAATGAAGCCGAAATACTGCGTCGCCTCGCCCCTCGCCTATT